CACTGGTTATAATAGTTGACGCAATTCCGTTAACCCGCCTCAAATATAGTGAAGGTAACGATTTCAATCATGTGTTATAATTTGTAGGAGTATATTCACAATTTCTCCAAAATCTATATAGAACTCAGTGTCGTTTTGTCGTACAAGTCATCAATTATTACATATATTTAAACCTTAAATCACTATTCTAACAAATATATACACACAAAAATACGGTTTATTTGACTATAAATATATTGATATTCTATATTTTAAGTTTTAAGTAGTTACATCATGTGTGTATATAGAATGGTTAGGTATATATATATATATATATATAAAGTGTATACATATTATATATATATATATATATTATACATATATAAGTGTATGAGAGTCAACGCGTGAGACTTGAAGTTCGATCGACTTTCAAAGTGCGTTCTATTCATCGTTGTCAAATACAATTGGTGTAATCTACAGGTGAGCCCTTTACATGGTACATTGATTAATGAATTCAAATTGTTGCATAACGAGAAACGAAAGAAAAAAAATATAAGTGAATGATCGATAGTTCAATACTAGTTGCTATACTGGGCTATCTGTAATTAAAAATTAAGGATAATTTACTAACATAAATATAATATGTACGTCAGTGCATAAAATATAAATGTGGAAATCGTTGACCCCAAGTATTACAGTTCTTAATTACACTCATCGTTTGAGGGTTGAATATGTTATCATCCAATATCGACTATCTACGATAATCGGTCATCACTCACTGTACAATGACTCAGTAAGTTGCAATGCAGGGTGAAAATTTAACAGTATTATAGGTGCCTATCTAAGTTTATAAAACAGTGTATTGAGTGATAGAATATATTTTTTAAATTGCAATACAGCAACCGCCATCCAAATCGATTTTAGATGACCTTAAGAAGTTAATGTATATTTTTTTAAATCCGTAAAACTAATAAAATTTGTGAGCTTCAAAGATACTTACTTATACTAATTTACTATTGGTTCAGGGCTTATGGTGAAGATGCGAATAACTACTAAACAATGGTCACACTTAGATCGACATTTGTTTCGTAAAAACTATTATATAAACATAAAAAACCTTTTTTCAACAATTATTATTAAACAGTTTTATTGCATTTATCTTATACTCGTATATACGGAACAGAGACGTAACATATAGCTACTGTCAGTAGTATTTTGTTAATTGCTTTCATTTTTTAACTTATCCATCGAATAAAATTAATAAAACTCTTAACCATTACTAGAAATAGACTTAGTTTTAAGACTATATTTTACATAGAAACCGTCCCTAACATATAGCTGAAGAATAATATAATACGCATGAGTAACAGACGCAATCACAAGTCTGCAGATAACTACTATTTTAATCACTAATAACAATATAGTAAATAAAAACTAATGTAATTAAGATTCTCGGCTTAGGATGGTTTTACAACGAAAATTTTGCATTGTAAAATTTGATAAAGATTTTATTCCACCATATTATATTTTATACCTATAAATAGCTATCCGATATTTTAATAAAATCGAGAAATTCCCTGTATAATATTTCCTTAACTCTGAAAAAAAATTCATGCCAATTATTAATTATTTAAAATTCTTTAAAATTGTTTTCATAAAAGTATAATAATATAATATGGAGCAGAACTCTAACCTATTAATACATATACACATTACACACGTTTGAAAAATCCTAGAGTATAAAGACTTAGTAATGATAACGTATATAGATTAGCGTAGCTATAATTCAAAATACAAAATAACTATATTTGATGATAACTTCAAAACTAAAGCCGAGCGTGAAATTATGATTGTATTCATTTTTAGTTGTCAGCATATAAAAATCCAGCTCGAAAAAAATCAAAAAAGGGAGTATTGTAAGAGAGAATAGGTACCAAGATTTTTGTAATAGGTACCTAACCTAACTACTTTTTTTATTTCATTAACGGAGTGGAATCACTGAACTTTATAAATATTATTATAAGTGTGACACGCACGTATACATTTGTATACGTATGCACAAGTTATAATATATGTTTGCATTAAAAACTGCTCAGTATCGTGGGTCTGAAAAACGATCTATTTCTTTTTTTTTAAACCGTCGACAAAAGTGTGACTATAGTAAATTGTTGACTTTATTGTTACATTGAATATGACCCGATTTCCCGACTTTCGTTTACTTAGTTAAATGACAAAAAAAAAAACAAATAATAAAACAAATCGTTCTAAACTATTTTAGATAAAATATCATTTTTATGGAATGAAAAACAAGTAATGTTTTCCAGTAAGCGTATAAAAATTAATAAATCATACAAATATCTTTGCTCAAGTAAACATCTATATAGAATCTATAATTTATAAATACAATACAAGAGTATAATATATTACGGTATTTAAATCGTCACAAAAGCATACCGATTGCATGTTTTAAGAACTTAAATTAAAGAAAAGTGGGACACTATAGCTTTGAAAAATAATGTATTAAACATTGTCACAATGTTATATGCACCTACCTCTACAATGTAATAATATTATATGTATTATATATTTATAATTTATATATATATATATTATATATATACTATTCGCAAGTATTACGTTCCTTATATGAGTAAATTCTTTATTATTTTGAAGTACCTTGTAATACTTTATATATTACGTGGATGTGTGATTCGAACGGATCAATTAAAAACAATTTTTACCAGCTTAACGGTATGGATAATTAGGTATTGGACAAATTTTATATCAACTCAAAAACAACAATAGCAATGATATATTTGAAATCGTCGAGGACAAAATATTATGAAAAAGTCGGTGGTGGCGTTTCCACGGGTCTTCTTTGAAGCGTACATTATAATAATATAATATGTACTTTCACGCCGAGCGTCGCCTCCGCGGAGCACATAGGGGCTTCTCGCGTGGCGGAAGGAAAAGTTTTCGCCGTCGGTCGATCGCGCCTTTATATATCATACACTACACACTCAAACACACCAATACTAAATATTATACATACAGAGTGGTTCTATTATCATCATTTAGGTAATATCTTAAGGAACTCGAAATGTTTTAAAGAACAAAACCTTAAACGTTGTTTTAGGTACGTTATATTTCATGAAAAATTATTCGATTCAAGTTAAAAAACACCAACTTGTATGTATGTACAATAATATCGGTTACATATTAATGGAGTTCAATACCTGAACGAGAAAAAAATAATAAACGAATTATTGAGGTTCAGTACAATGAGAAAAATATAACAAATATTCAGCACTCAATAAATTACTTTGAAACAAAATATATATAATTCAGTCCACGCAAGGAAAAGTTAAACATATCAATTGACTCCGTAGATTTTTTTAGTCATAGTGTGCATTTCTATACCTAGTTCTGGTTGAAATAGGAATCCTAAGACTGCAGTTGATCACTGAATTATTACATGAACCGAACCTAACCATGAAAATTATATCTTAACTTATGAGAACGAAATTACAGAACAAATGCAGCATATTTTACGGACAAAAAAAATATTAAGATTTGAATACAAAAAAAATCGTCACTAAGTTTTTACTGATATATGGCATTTAATTAATTGATTAGTTTAATAATACATTATAGGTACAGTGTAAGGACATACCTATATGTATCAAATTTATCAAATATTTACAAACCAACATGAAAAATAAATAGTATATGGTTTTAATTTTACAGGACTCAATTAGTATTTAGTATACTAGTATTTACTTAAAAATACCAAGGACTCAATTTATATGCAGTCAACAATAATATATCGGCGGCCAGTCTACCTAACCTAGTCTACCCACCAAAACACTCGTGACGTTAAAACATCCAAATCGACTGAAATGGTTTTCTATTATTGAAACGATTTGTCCGCCATAAGAATCAGTTTTTATTTTTTAGAATGTTTGCAATAATAGTATTATACTCTAATTTACTCCGAAATAATATATTTTATTGTTTTGATATCATATAATATCATAGACTCATTGGTAAGGTTAAACTAGTTGCCAAGAAAACAACACTAATATTATTTTTATTAATAACGTCATGCCTAGATGTGGTAAAAAAATTCACGAAATGCATGGCCAACAACCAACTTATTACTTACTACCTATCTGGTTAGTTTCGAAAATATCGTAGGGACTTGTAAAACCAGGTTCCCCCTATAATATTATTGCCTGTCTTGTTCTCCTATAAAGTTGAATACGTATTGAACTAGTACCTTGGTAACGTATTATCGACATTTTTTGTCTATGTATTTAAACTTGAGGAATATTCAAATACGACACTATAAGTCAGCCCGGATTTAAAGTAGGACTCTACTGCTATTATAATAGTGTTTCGTGTGAATCATGTGGTAAATGGTTAGTGGTTAACATGCAGTTACCACAATACACTAAACAGTGTATACTATTTACGTTTATCTGTACAGGTATGATGAACGCTCAAATTCGCTTTAAACGTGAGTTTAATATTGGTTGGCATTGGTAATGCGGGTTGGGGATTAAATGCTTACAAACTAGGTATATGACGTTAAATGATACGACCGTGTTATACTTGACATTTTTGAACTAGGTCCAAGTGTCCAACAACTAGGAAACTTGGTCTAACGTGTGGTAAAGAAGATTAAGCACACTGGTATACCAAAAGCTTACCGTGGATACCAACCAACACGGCAAAGGGCTTCTATGCACTTGCACGTATACGCGTGCAATGGAAACCCAACTTTAGACTTCGGGGTGAGGTTAATTGGTTATTAAAATATGTGGTTATCGATCATTTGAAAAATCGGTTTTACATAATCGATGTAATGAAATTTGGCAAATAAAATGAAAGTCCTTTACACAAATCATAATTATATGGTTTACAGCACTCGGCGTAGTAGTGGTAACCAGCTACCACCTTAAACGTAATTATTGTACATATGTAGGTAGGTATATAGTTGTTACAGATAAGACACTTACTGGTTTAACATAACCCTGTTACGGGGCTGCGGGTTTTTCCGGTATCCACCGGAACGGGTGAGAGAAGATCGACTGTAACGTAATCGTATATCTTTTGCGTTCTAAGTGTGATGCTGATCGGTTCTCTTCGCCACGACGACGATGCGGTCGGAAATAACGAAACGAATCCGCTCGAACGATCGACGAAACGCACAGCGGTAATTGAAATATATTATAATAATAACGATGATATTGCGATAATAATATGTCACTGGTCGCGTTCTTTATGTATACGTAACGGTAATATTATTTTCATGTGGACACACATGCAGCGCGAGAAAAAAAACCTCGCACAATCACTAGCGATTTCGCACGGAAACGAAATTTCTCCGGACGACCGCGACGGCGATTGCGACGACTGTGACTGCGACCGCGGTATGAGTGGTACGACGACAACGACGACCGCGGCGGTGCGCGACTACACGACTGCGGTAACCTACGTAAGTACGACTCTGGTACCTCCTCCTAAGCCGGCCGATAACGACAACGCCGCGATGTACGTGTGTGCGCGCGGACGCCGGTCGTGTGTGCGCTGCGGCGCTGGGCCCTTGCGTTGCGGTGCCGGCGGCGGCGACATGCGCGAGCTGTTTGTACGCGTGCGCCCGACCGTCGCTCGGCCACCCGATCACCCATCCCTCACCCCTCCCCTAGTACTGCGTAACCCCGCGGTATGCGGTCCCTGCACCACCCATGGCCACCTACCAATTCTTCGCGGCCAGCGCCTGCAACGATGGCGACTTCTTCTACCCACCCGCACACCGACCTCTCACCGCCACCGACTCCACGACGGGTCGACGACGTCTGCGGTGTTCCGTGGTCGGGATGGTTGTAGGGACGGGCGGTGGTGGGAGAGCGTGAGCGCAACAGACGCGAAAAATCGGATCCAAAAACCGAAAGAAAAAATAACGTGAAACGCCTCTTCCGCCACCTCCACTCCGTCAAATTCGATACACCTACTTATAATACAAACCCATTTATATTTAAATTAAACCTTTATTTAATGCACTTTTTCCCTTTTATTATTATTATTATTTAGCTTTTAACCTAAACAATAATATGACGTATTGAAGCTCGAAAATTATTAACAAAACAATATTATTTAGGTGGCATAATAATCAAACAAAAATAATTTAGGTAAAATAATAATAAACGCACGATCTTCAAATATAAAATATACAACATTCAAATTCAAATAATAAGAAAAATTATATAATAATAAAGATTGTCGATTAAAAATAACTGAACGACTAAAATTTAAAAATAATATGTACTATGATATATTAAACTTGTTTAATATATATTATATATTTCGTATGACAAAGTAGAGCAACAAATTTAAACATGTAAATAATAACAAACTATATGGAATAGGATACAAATAATAATAATAATAGGATACAAATAATAATAATAATAAAATAAAATAATATAAAATAAAATAAAATAATAATATGTCTAATATGGCAAGTGGTAACTATTATGGCTGAGATGAATTTGGAACTATAAGCTAAAGATTCATGTCCAGATTTTGTATCCAATCAATCACATCCATGTTAGCTGTATGGATATCATAACTTATTTAATACAGCTGTAAGAGAGAGGAGCACGTTAATTAATGCAATTAGTTCGAACAAAAATATAGATTGGTGGGTCTTTAATGGGAATATTATCAAACGAATTTTGGTTGGACACAACTTCTGCGAATATTTTCATTTTGGACTCCGTATGAACATCTGGAACCTTGGTTGAAGAGATATCAGGAGCACCTATTTACTTAAATTATAAAAAAAAACACAAATAGAACACAATTTTATTAGAATTAGTCACAATATAGAAATCTAAAATTACTCAACTAATTAGTCAAAAATAATTGTTTTACAATCATAAGCGATGCTACCGAAAATGCTTATACTGTCTACCATTATATATACGAAGTCTTTTCAATTTGAGCACAGTGTGTACAAACACGCTCAAAGAAAGTCTGAATATTTCAAAATAAAATGTATTACATTACACCTTGGTATCCTACAAGCATAATAACGCGAGAATATTCTCAAAACCATTAAAATACACTATTTCATCAAAAGTCAAAATCAATTCAACAATATTGTCTGGTAAGTGCTTCGTTATGTATACACACTACACTTACGCCCTCACTGTAACAACATATTTAGCTTAGCTTTATTGTTATTATATTTGATACGGTATCAAAATTATAAAAGTTCGAATACGAATATTTTATAAATAATGTGTAACTTACTCCGAGTTTCGTTCTGTAATAAATTGGCAGCCACACCCACGCATGTTGTATTACTGTCTTCGTCGTAAAAAGTTTAACATAGAAAATTTGTGTTTATCAAAACTAATTTTGTGTTGCTAATCAAGAAAATATTTTAACGTTGGAGTGAATTGACCTTATAAAACATAAAGGTAAGAACGAAATCTGTACACGTATTTTTTTGATTTTTGTAGATGTTTAATTTCTGAAATGAGTGATGAGTATTTAAATATTGAATAGTAAAATTACTATTTAAAATTGCTCATAACTCGCATTAAAATAAAATAAAAAATGAACATATAAACACAGATAATATAACATTATCTTTAATACCTTACATTTAATATTGTAGTCAATTTTATATCAATATTACATATCACATATCATAATTTGTGTAACTATATCCACTTTTACAGTTTAATATAAGTACTTACATACAATATTTGTACATGTCTTATCATCTATAATACATAGATTATACGAATATGTCGCTTGTATATAATATATATCGTTCATGATAAAAGTTTTAATTTTAAATATAAGAATTGCATGATTTATTTAATAAGTGGCTCAGTAATTTTAAAATAGGAATTCGTAGAGAGTATTAATAAATTAGAATTTAATTGAACTATAGTTTTTTTATATAACAGCTGGATACTGGTTAAGCTATTGTTTATAAACTGCACTACACTATCTGACTGACTCTAAAATCTAATATCAATGTATTGATAAGGTGATTATTTATTTTTAAGTGGAATAACCAAAATACAATAAACAAATTAGGAGTTATAAGTTGTAAATTTACAGAATAACAATTAATAATTTGGGGTACAGTGGGGGCATGCAACTACCACTTCAATAGTTACTGCCTCAGCCACATGTCTGTGTTTTCCATAATATTAAAAGTAAGGATGCTACAATTCGTAGTTCCAAAAAAACAATAGCAATGAAAAAAACTCCTAGATTTGTTTGTAATCATCGTTTACCCTTCTCCAATCATCGTATCCGTATTTAATCGTTCACGACAAATATTTGCGACAAATATAATAATACGATTATGCTCTGATCTATATAAATATAAATAATTAGACAATACATTTTTAGTATATTTGGGCATGAATAAACTCATTTTCCCAAATAGATCTGTAAATTGTTTAGCCTACAATAAAAATTATTATTCGTTCATTTTGATATGAATTAAGATATGTATCACGAAGTTGTTCTTGTCAAAACGGAGAAAAATAAATGTTTCACTAGTTCATAAAGTTAAAAAAAAAAGTTTGAAATAAATAATATATTTCATAGTTAACACAGAACCGTAATTTAGCCACATTATGTCTTGTTGAAATAAAAATGTATACAGATGTATACTACAAAATGAGTGAAAATCAAAAACGTATTTAAAAATTATCTGATGATGAAATCATGAAAAAAATATTTTTCTAACTATTTAAACTATGAAAATGTTATCACACGGCGATATGGTTAGGCTATTTAGGTACACCGCTGCCTGAATGAGATAATTATTTAGGTAGCCGAGAATGATTATTATAATATTATATTTATTTGTAGCAGTTTTATTTTTCGTTGATGATAGTTTGAAAAATAATCATATAATATCAAAATGCATAAGTACCACACTAATATTTTTTTACTATATTATTTGATCATAAAAATATCATGTTTGAATTTGATATATAATTCTATAGAACAATACACTAACTTCGAATTTCGATGTTTTTGACTTAATTATGTTCACAAAATATGTTAATATGAAAAAGGTGTTAAACCTTTAAAATATCATGTTAGATATAAAATTATAACAATCTACTTGAAAATTTCAGACATCCGTTCCGACCAATCATTTATTTCAGAATTTATAGTTTTATTTATTGTTATTTGAATTTACATTTTAAAATTATTTAGTATAACACAACAGATTCTATATCATACTATAACAATAATATCTAGTGTTTGGAATTTGTCTCATATTATCCTGAATTCCCAAAGCGTATTTAAAATTATGTTAAATAATAACAATAGATACATTATTATATTAGGCATGGGACATTTTGAAACGTCTATGCCATAATAATATTAAACTCCACCAATTACAATTCTAAACAATTTATATGATATACATTCTACCTATAACTGAAATTAATTATTAAATATTATTAGTATTGAATATAAAAGCCATCAATTGTCGAATTACGTTCAGTAATAGTTTGACCGGTTAAGCTGCCACGTATCGTATTCTACAGGAAAAATCGTAACTAAATACGAATTTATATTAAAAAAATCATTAAATGTTCATTATATTGTAGAATTTGCTAAGCCCCGTATTTGTTGAGTTTGATTTATCTAAAACAACATTACTATGCTGAAGTACTATTTTTACGAAAAAAATATGTTCATACTATAATATATTGTTTTTGGTCCTTCATTTATTCATAACTTGGAAGACTTCATGACATTAAAAATAATATCGCCTTGGAATGCAAGCTGTATTATTATATCTATTATTATTACAGTAAAACTTATATATTATTGCGAAGTCTCGTGGTCGACAACAAAGGTATTTGTGTTCTAGATCAATTCGTTAAAAATTGTATGGTACTAAACAGATTTGGTTTGGTTCTAAAAAGTATTTCGTTAAACTGAAAATGTTATTAAGTGAAAGTTTCGCCGTATTTATATTATCATCATTTTCATCACCGTTATCGTCGTCACATGACGCGTTATTGTATTATAATAATAATATTGTGTTGTGGATACGAGGAGTATGACGGAGACGGAAAAGGGTTTTTCGAGTGGAGTGTTTGTGTGTGTTTTTGCGCTACCGAGTTTTCTCGAGAGCTGGTCGGATGATGCTGAATATGGAGACGCAGGAGAAAACCGAATCAACGAGTACATTATACAATCATATACATTGTACACATTTATGTATAATATTATGTTATATATTATGTTGTTAAGCTTGTACAGGTACGTGTTCGTCATTAGACACGTCTTCTGACGAGTGCCACACACACACAGCACCATTGGATGTTTTTTTTTTTAATTTAATTTTTTTGTTTTATTACGTTACTTAAAAAATCATTGTCTGTTTTTCAGTCCATTTTTTTTTAATCTTCGCCTGTGGTTGATAATTACGCTGCTGTATACCTATTCTTTTTTTCCCCCAAACGACACGATGCGTGCAATAATTAATTTGAGTAGACAATATCTAGATAAAT